GAAACAAGTTATATGAATTGTTGAATGTGAAACTGATGATGTGCCCTGTAAACTTTCATTCATTCAATCCACAATAAAAACCTTAAATTAAAAAAAAAAAAAAAATTTGATGTGAATCCCTAAATTCTGGCTAATATTTTTCTCTATCCTTCCATTTATTTTTGTTGTAAATTCTGACCTCTGGTCAAAAATAAAATGGAATTAAGTCCCCCAAGTGGTGGTTGTTATTGTTGTTAAGTGCTGTCGAGTCAGTTCGGACTCACAGCGACCCTGTGTAGGGTTTTCGAGGAGAAGCTAGTGAGCTTGAACCACCAACTTTGCATTTCAAATGGCTTTGCAGTCTGGTGCATTAACCCACATTCCCAAGCTAAAATAATATCCCTAACAACAAAATCTTCCTATGAAAAACTGTGCTTATTTATTCAACTGTAAGTATTTTGACTTTTTAAAATGTTGGTCTAAAGTTTAAGAGATTAGAAAATTACTAAGTCTACTTTACAAACAGAAAACACTAAAGTACATGTTCCCTAACCCACACCAAATTATATATATATATATCATCAAAAAACAAATGATGCTCTGAATGCATTCTGTCAAAGTAGACTAATATCTAAAAGTTAAAACAAAACATCAAAACTAAAAATACCTGAAAGAAAAAAACAACTAGTCTGTATACTTTTAAATTCTGGACACTCTTTGACATTGACGACAAAGTTGATGGTAATATAATTAAAAAAAAATATTTCCTAAGTCATTCAAGTTTAAAGTACCATCATATACATAACATGATTGAATTTTCTAGTCCTGAATGCAACCGCACCTCAAGATCATCTCACTACTCTTCCTATCCTTTAAAACACTAAGGCAAAAATAAAGTAACGCACATACCTTAAAGTTTTCAGATTGCAAATGGCCTTGAATTGTACGATAGGTAGCATTGAGGTCTGAAAATATTTGACATAACTTTGTTTCAAAACTGAAATTCAAATGATATTATTATTTAAAAGGGAATTTAACAATCTGTAACCAGTTAAACAATGAAAAGCCCTCTTTGGCCTTCAAACATTTAGAAGATAAATTAAAATTAAATTAATCAAGCAATTTAAACATTCAAGAAATCTAGAACTGTAAATTAATTTACTGTAACTCTATTACACAGTTTTTCTTTTGCATGTTTCCCAAGAGTCCTATGCACTATTTCCCTTTATTTTCAAGGAATTCTATATTGAGGATCCTTTGAGCCATGTAATTATGCTTTAGGTAATAAAAAAGTCAGAGAAGTCAAATAACCTGTCTAAGAAAAATAAACTAATAGTGGAGTTAAGAGTAGAACCCAGGTCTCCAAATTTCCTTTCAAAACAGTAGACATCACAGTTCCTACGGAACAGCTTCACTAAGGCTTATTTATAAATTAAACATAAAAGGAACAATCTGGAGAACTACCGAAGAGATAAATTAATTACAATACAGCAACATAATTTCTTACTGCTTTAGAAAATATTAAGAATTACAATGAATACAATGATGATCAGAAGAAAATACTGATCCTATAAATAGTTAACAGTTCTAGATTTATGAGGATTGCTAACATTATAAAAGTAGCTAAATATACATTAAAAATGAAACTATTTTTTAATCCCACCTGTTTATTTCACTGTCAAGAAACTGATATGAAAACTTTCTATTAGCTCTGATAATTTTGCATACAATGATTTTTAGTTCAATGAACACAATCAAATTTTTTTAAATCCTATAAACCATAAAGCAATTCAAGTTATCATATTATTGGGAGATGGGTTAAGTTATAAAATAACCCTTTTTCTAAATTCCTTATCTTTAAATTTTTAATTTCAAGAATATCAGTTTAAATCATTATACTTACAATTTTCTATAATATGAAGCATTGGCAACTTTGGCTGAAGAGTTATACAAAACATCAGAAACCAAATATAATCTGGCAATCTGTAATACCAGAAATATAACACAAAGCAGATTAAAATTTGGAGTACACTTGAAATTAAAATTAGCTAACGCTACAGAAAAACCTGAACAAAAGTATGTATTAAAAACTTTATTTATAACTGTCAAAAACCAGAAGCAACTAATATGCTCTTCAGTAGGCGAATGAATAAATATCCATACAATGATCACACAGCAATAAGCTACCTTAAATGCATATTGCTAACTCTAAGTGAAAGAAGCTACCAGGGTATGATTCCAACTATATGAAATTTTTTAAAAGAATAAAACTATAGAAACATTAAAAAGATCAAGTGGTTGTCAGAGATCCAGTGGGGAAGATGACTAGGTGGACCACAGAGCAGTTTAAGGTCACTGAAACTAGTCTGTATAATACTGTAACTGTGGATACATGACATTATAAATTTGGATCTGTCAAAACATGTAGACCTTACAAAACAGAGAATAAACCATAATATAAACCACGGGCTTCAATTCATAATAAAATATTAGCTCATTAATTGTAACAAATGCACCATACTACTGCAAGACATTAATACTAAGAGAAATAATGTATGTATGCATGTGGGAGGAGTTACATAGGAACTTCATCCTTTCTGTTCTGCTTTTTTATTAAAAAATATTTTTTAAACCATCAGTCAATATCAGGAAAGAATCTGAATTGTCATTTCTTGGAATCAGGGGCATAAATTGTTTAGCTGCATTTTAATAACTGCTACTAATTGGAAAATTTATGAGAAAGTGAACATTACCACAACCATGACAAAATTGGTACATCATTTATATTTCAGCCTGTTGATAACTTATACAGCAATGAATATAACAAGTTTCTCAGGCTGAAGGAAAGTAAAATTGCATGGGAAAAACTTCATCCAAAGCACACTATTTCCAACATAAAAAGAAGTCAACTATCATCTCATCTTCACTTAATTAGACATTCATAAAAAGACATCATTGCAATACCTTTTTAGGAAGGGGTGTCTTTAAGATGGACAATGACTCAGTAATGCAATCCACTATTTCTTCAGCTGCTTCAGCATTGTTAAGACAGAAAACCATTGCATCTCCAATATCATTTTTCCGTGGAGTTAATCCCCGTAGGATTTCTTCTAATTTATCCCTCTGTCTGAATAAAAATATTTAACTCATACTTTACAGATATAAATTTCAAATGCCACTATAGATTCTGGTCACAAACTAATTTCTTTAAAACTCACTCAAAGGACTTGAATAGGCATTTCTAAAAAGATCTACAAATGGCCAATAAGCACATGAAAAAATTATAGGTATTTTTCAAACATCTTGTTAGTGCCCCAGTCCTATTATACCATTACACTGAAGAAGAATCTTCCATGTTTTTTACTCTGATCTTTAAAAGAAGTCTTATTTCTTTAGCATTTGTGCACAGGATTAAAGTACCCAAAGTTAAATCCATTTCTACTGAGTCAATTCCAACTCATAGCAACACTAATAAGGTTTCCGAGGCTGTAAATCTTTATGGGAGTTGGCAGCCTCATACTTCTCCCATGATCAGTAGTCTGAACCACTATATCACCAACCTGGATGAACCTAGAGGATATTTGTTGAGGTAAATCAATCATGAAAGGACAACTATAAAAAATCATAATCATAAAGTCAAAAAAAGACTTTCACACAAAAAGAAACATCCTTTGATGTTACCAAGGGTAGGAAGGGAAAGAGGGACAATCACTAGCTAGAGGTCATTTTGTTAAGTGCCAATGAGTCGGTTCTAACTCATAGCAACTCTATAGGGTTTCCGAGGCTTGAAATCTTTGCCAGAGCAGAAAGCTTCATCTTTATCCTATGGAACAGTTTGTGGGCTTGAACTGCCAATCTTGCGGCTCACCATCCAGTGCTTATCATATGTAACCACTGCATTAGAGGTGAGCTGTCAAGTCAGTTCCAACTCATAGGGTTTCTGAGAAGTGGCTGTTGAGTTTGAACCTCAGACCTGGCAGTTCAAACCTACCTTTCAGTCCAGTGCTTACCCTATAGCGCCACATCAGGACTCCTTAGATACATATTAACTTGGGTGCAGGGCAAGGCAACATACATATATAAGGGGGAGGGTCAACAAAATATGACCAAGGCAAAGTAAGACACTGGAAGACGTACAAAAGTTACAGGCAACAGAGATGCATACTATTATATACACAATCTTGAAATAACAGTAATAATAATCTACAAGTAGATACACAAGACAGGCAAGCTGAAAAGATGTGGGAAGAAAAATGGGACCATACCCATTAATATGCATCGTTTGAGAGAATGTTTCTACATATGTATTTACACATGCTGCAAATATGCCCATGAATATAGCAGACGATAAAGGAGGCAAAGTTAAGAAAATTTCTTGCTGTTACTAAATGCTGTAGAGTGGGTTCTGACTCTCAGTGATCCTGTATAGAGTTTCCGAGAAGAGGGTGGTGGGTTTAGTTAATAGCCAGTGCTTAGCCTACAGGACCACACCAGGTGAAAACTTCTTAGCCATAATTTAATACCTTGAGGAAATGGGTCTCTGGGCTCAGGGGACAATAAGGTCAAGTGGCACTACCTAGTCCAGATGTAGACATCTGACTTGGTAAACAGAAATTGGATCTGTGTGAGCAACCATCTTATTGTTCTTAGGTGCAATCAAGTTAGTTCCGGCTCAAAATGATTTTGATGCACAAAAGAACAAAATACCACCGCCCAGTCCTGGGGCGGGGGGATGTCTTCCTCTTTTTAGCATGATCTCCTTCTCCAAGGACTGGTCCCTCCTGATAATATGTCTTAAGTATGAGAGATGCAGTGTCGCTATCCTATCTTCTTTTAAGGAGCATTCTGTCTGTACTTCTTCCATTACAGATTTGTTTGTTCTTCTGACAATCCATAGTGGTTACATGCCGTGGAGTCAGTTCCGACTCATAGAGACCCTGGCACAGGGTTTCCAAGGCTGTAAATCTTTACGGGAGCAGAAAGCCTCATCTTTTTCCCATGAACAGCTGGTATTTTTAAACTGCTGACCTTGCAGTTCACAGCCCGATAGTAACTCAATGTTCTTCTCTAACACCATAACTCAAACACATCAATTCTTCTATGGTCTTTCTTATTCACTGTTCAACTTTTGCATGCATATGAGGTTACTGAAAATACCATGGCTTGGGTTAGGCGTACCTTAGTCCTCAAACTGACATCTTTATTTCTAAACACTTTAAAGATGTCTTGTGTCGCAGATTTATCCAATGTAATACACGGCTGCATTAGTGGATCCAAGAAAAAAGAAAGCTTTGACAACTTCTTGAGTGCATGTTTGATCAATTTCAGACTGAAGAAGTCGGTAGTATTCTTCAATTTCATCATCACTGGCTTTTCTGGTTGGTGTTTAAATTTGAATAGTATTAATTGGTATTCCTTGCAGACTTATTAATATTGTATCACAGACAGTACTGTACTTCAAGACAGATCTTGAAATGTTCTTCTGAATGATGAATGTGATGCCATTCCTATTCAATTTAACATTCTTGCCAGAGTAAATCACATGATCATTAGATTCAAAATGGCCAACACCAGTCCATTTCAGCTCACTAATACCTATGAGATCAATCTTTATGCCTTCCACTTCATTTTTGACAACTTTCAATTATTTTAGATTCACACTTCACACATCCCAAATATTAATGGATATTTGCAAGTGTTTCTCCCCATTTCAAGTTGTGTCCCATCAACAAATGAAGGTCCTGAATGTTTTACTCCATTCGTGTCATCATGATCAACTCTACTTCCCAGTCATTATTTTGAGTGCTTTCCAAGCTGAGGGGCTCTTTTTATGTTATATATATATGACAATATTTTGGTGCTCTTCATGTTTTTATCTTCAGACACTGTATCTGAGCATGTTCTACTGCTATTCATATAGTTTTCAGTTGCTAAACATTCAGAAATAGTTGACCTCTCCTTGTTTCTAGTTTTCTTAGATGCACAAATTCTCTCCCTGACTGTAGCAAATAGTGAAAAAAATTAAAGACTTGTGGAAACAATTAGTCCACAAGAATAATGGACCATGTGAACTTCAGCCTCCACCAACGCTACAACCAGAAGAACTAAATGGTGTCTGTCCAACTACCATTACTGACCACTCTGGAAGGGATTTTAATAAAAAGTCCTGTGAAAATATAAAACAAAGCTAAAAATCATTAAAACAAAATAAAAAGGCCAGGCTTATGGTCTAAGATATAGAGGTGGAATCCCTGAGACTACAGTCTTTGTTGTTGTTATTATTAAATGCCATAAAGTTGGTTCTGACTCACAACAATCCTGTATAGAGTTTCCCAGGCTATAAATCTTTGCTGGAGCAGACAGGCTCATCTTTCTCCCATGGAGCAGCTGATGGACTCGAACTGCAGACCTGGTAATTTACAGTCTAGTATCCTGAAGAGCACCCCACTCCCCATATAGTCCTGAGACACCCTTTAAGCCTGGAACTGAACCGACTGCCAGGGATCAACTTTCAGTCAACTAGGTCTGTAAGGTAAACAGCGAATGCAGTCCTGGTATGGCACTGGAATGTCAAATAGTTTGAACCTCAAGGTCAATGGTTCAAGCTCACCAGCTGCATCTCAGAAACACTATACAGAGTCACTGAGTAGGAACCAAATCAAAGGCACTATACAAGGCGCTTAAAACAAAAGGCAAACTGAGTCTTGGTGGGGCACTGCAGGATAATGCACTGGACAAGGTCAGTGGCTCAAGCTCACCAGAAGCTCCTCAGAAATCCAATGCACATAGGGTCACTAAGAATATGAACAAACTCAACAGAAAGGTGAATGGAGCTCTGGAGGCACTATAGGATAAATAATGGACTGCTAACTGTAAGGTCAGCAATCCAAACCCACAGGAGAGACATGGGATTTTCTGCTTCCATACAGTTACAGCCTTGGAAGCCTATACAGAGTACCCGTGAGTCAGAATCAATTTTATGGCACTGGGTTTTATAAGATGAATAAGTACTAGGGAGGTATTTATTCCATAGAAATAGCAACCATTCAAGATCAAAAGGGTCGTGGTTTTAAGTGGCAGCATTTTCTCAAGGACAAAGTTCAGAAGGCAGGAAGAATTAGGAAAGAAGGATGAATGAAAACAGAAAACACGGAGAGCAAGTAGAATGAGTGACTTATATGGTGGAGAATGCAATCAATGATATGAAATAAAATGTTTACAAGAGGACTTTTAAAAGTTCACGGGAAAATGGAATTAAAAAATAATGGAACTTTTCTAAACATTTTGAAGCCGCTCTCATACGATCAATTAAATAAAAAATAAATTTTCTCTGTAAATCTCCATCCCATTAAAAATAAAAAGCTTTAAAAAAACGAGATCATCACTAACTTTACCAGTAAGACCAAGTAGAGATAAACAGAACAGAAATGGTTGTAACTTGCCAAAATGTTTGTTTCAAATAAATGGTACATGATGAAAATTTTATCAACTTAAATACCTACAAATGAAAAAGCATTTTATTTTAGTCTAATATCTCCAGAAAGACCACTTTAAGAGGAAATGACTTTTCTGAATGTGTAACCAAAAGGGGGAAAAAAAATATCTTACTCTTCCTTAAGTGCTCCCTTTTTACTAGGCTCCTCTACAGATGCTTCTGTTTCTTGTTCTTCTGACATTCCATGCAAGTATGGGTTTAATGGTGGTGGCCTCCAAAAAGATCCATTTTTGAACATTCGAAAATCTTCTGTCCTCCATTTAATTGGAGAATCTCCCTAATTAAAGTCCAAAACGTTACTAGAAAAGTCAGTATTCAGAATCAAAATTAACAAAGTAATTGACTTTACTTGCCTGCAGAATAGAATAAAGCTTCCACCTATAGTAAACATGAGCTGGTGTCTGGTTTTCAAATAAGAACCTAAAACAGAAGAAAACACATTAAACATCACCTTCTTTTATTCTCAAGTAAATTTAAAGAACAATTATTTGCCTAATTAGTTGTAAATAAAACTTAAAGTAAAGATCCCAGAAGAAAACTCCTCACCCACTGCTGGCAGCAACTCCTCCAACCCACCCCCAAATGGCCTTCCTATCTTAGTGACTTTCTTTAATGCCGACATGACAATCATGTTTCTTGCTTAGTCTTACAATCACCTTTACTGAATATGGTGTGTTAGATACTGTGTCTGGCAATGGATTTTTTCCAATAGGCAATTTCAAAAGCAGTGATTTTATACTAAATTAAAAAATGTTTAAATTTCTTAGCTACCATGTCAATTAAGAAGATAAGCAATTTCCTTTAAATTTTGTTTTAGTATTATCTGTTATGAAAGATTCATTTTTGTAAAATATAATGAAAAGTTTTATTTCCTTCTAAAGAATACTGAAAACAATGTCACTTAATTCATTACATCAAAATCATAAGGAAAATCATTTACTAAATCTGTCTTTTCACGGTAATTATAAAAATACTCCTATATCTTAGAACTTTATTCTTGGAAATCTTTTTTAATTTCAGAAAGTTAAAAGTAGCTTTAAAATGCACACCTGAACATAGGGTTGTTGATTTCTCTGTTCATAATCATAGCTTCAAACATTGGCCCTTCACGTACAACAAACTCTATCATTCGATGTATCAGGGCGAGCAAATTCCTACAACAACAACACAGTTAAAGAAAATGGATTCAGACCTACCACTATATAAAACTACACTTGACCTAAGTTATTATAATTGTGCAGGAAAAGATTATTTTGCTGACTAATAGAGAATTTTAAACAAAAAAATAACCTGGAGCATATGTTAAAACCCTATGCATTAAGAGGGATGGGTAGTGGGGGCAGGAAGGTGGAAGGGAAGGAAAGGTGAAAGGAAGGTGGGAAACCACAAAACAGCCTCATAGTGTATATTTTAATATAGACTTAATGTTCTAAATGCCACTTTTTTTTTTCCAAATGCAAAACATTAAATTATAAATTATAACTAACTAGAAAGCAGTAAATAGGTAAAATCAGTACCAAAGAGCTGACATATTATAGACATCTAAAAGCTTACGCAGTATTTGTTTATAAGAAAATATTCCTGAGACAAGCACTTTTGTGGTGGTACTGAAATGTTATAAATATAACCACAATTTATAAAAATAATTAACAAATTTAAGGCCTGATTTAGTTTAAAAAAACAACAACAACAAAAAATCCATCTCCTATCTGTATTTTTCTGGTACACATATAACAGATGGAATTTTTACTGAATCTGACCTTTAAATGAAGAAACATCCCTTTGGATCACACTTCAGACTACTTCATACAATTCATAAAATGTATATTCTGCCAGTATATTAATTATGAGTCGATAAAGCAAGTATAGAGTCAAATCCTTAAGTGAATGGAGTCCTATATTCTGTTGAAATTATTCTAAGTGGGGATGTTATATCCTCCCCATTTTCCAATACTTAATTTTCTAATACTCAAACCAAAAATAAACATTTATGTGAGTGTGCTGAATCACTTCATTGGATGAGCTCACAGAAAGCCTTTTGTTTTTAAATTCTGAAGCTGGGTGTCTAATATCATGAAGTATCTTATTAGACTCTAAACATAATTTTAGACACTGATTATGTTGTCAGGCAAAAATGACTGTTTATTATAAACTGCTTTTGATTTATCATGTCACCAGTCCCCCAGCAAAGAGAATTGGCAAATAATAATTAGGAAAAGTAAAAGGATATTGGATACTGGCTCTTGGTACAATGAACACACTCAATTACAGCTTTAGCATTCCCAGCTCAAATTAAGTTCATATAACTGCTAGAACATAAATATATAGTTATAGAACAAGACAGATTTTTCATTTGGCTCTACAATGCTCTCTCTGCTTCAGAGTACATAAATAATAAAAATCATTTATCTTATGGTGATTGTAATTTTTGTTTTCAAACAAACCTACTTTAAGTGAACACTAAAATTTATACATAAAGAAAATTATTAATTTAACCCTAAAAGAGCTAAAAAAAATTATATGAAAGTTTAAATCTTTACTAAGGGGAAACTCTACATTTAAAACTATTACTTAAATCTCAAAATGTTAAAAAACCAAAAGCATCACTAAATTTTAAGCCTAAAAATTACTCTTTTTTTTCAGAGAAGTATTAAATGCTTTGCAAACATGCAGTTCTTGATATTCAAATGAGAATATATTCTCAGCATCCATATAGATAATGACATTATTTTGAAGGAAGGGAGGTCCTGTAAAGTTATGATTTAATTCCCAAGCTACTATAGTAGGAGCCAAATTAAAGTTAAGGGAAATTTTAAATGATTGTAACATATAAAAAAATAATTACTAGATGGGCAAATGCTACACATCCAGAAACTTGTGGAAATTAAATCAAAAGCAACTTGATGTCAGCATTAAAGATAGATGAAAAGTGGCTTAGCAAGTTTAAAACAAAGGATTCATACTAACAGTGAGTCAAGATTTTACAGCAAAATGTTCAACTAAAATTTTGTTTATAAGTAAGCTGAGTCAATGTAAAGCTACTACTCTATATCCTTTATGCATGCTGTAAAAAACTCTCCTATGAATGCTTTTCCAACGGAACAACACTATAGTTTTAAATAGGCTTGTAACTCTATTTTTAGAAAATTTAGTTTTAAAAAGCTTTAAAATATTTTATGATTGTTTAAAATCAAAATCTGACAATTAGTTATTAACTAGTATTCAAGATTATTAAAGAATTATAATAATACTCTTTTTTTCCTAAATATTGTGTGTAATTTCTTATTTAAAAAAACTGGCTATTTTATATCAAAATTAAACAGTGTAGTACAAAAAGACGCTACCTTTAAAGTGCATTATTTTAAAATCATAATTAATCTTATTCTGGGCAACAGAAAAAAATATGTCTGTCAGTTATAATAAAACCACATTAATGGAGTAGATCGTACCAATGTCTGGTCAAAAACTGTATACTTTCCCAATCCAGCCCATGATGTTTTCCTGGTCCCCCGCTGCCGCAGACAGTTCAGCTGGTGTTGCTCACCAAGGCCAATGTCAAAGAGAATTTGGTATTCTTTTGTGTTCATTTATTATTCAACCAGTGTTGTGTTCCTGTGTTTGGGAAAAGGCTTAGCTTGACTGAGCAAGAGCATACCTAGAACAGGAATTCTGCCTTAACAGTGTATTAAAAAAACAAAAAATAAAATAATTCCAAATACCTTTGGTGTCACGAAAAAAAAGGCTACAGTATGTCCAGTGTTCATGAAAATAACCAGAATTTCTTAACATCAATTAGAAAAACAACAAAGCTATACCTTCAGAAAGGGAAACTCAAACCAAAGTTTTTTATTAAATGTACGTAATTGAGAAACCAAGAAAAAAATAAGTTTGAAACAAACTGTAATACTACCTAGATTTTAAGATAAATTTTAAACACCTGTCTTCCCTTTACAAATAGCTTAGTATTATTTGAGCAATTCCAGATTTAAATCTATTACATAACTCTAATACTAAAGGTATAAAATTGTGTACATTGACAAAAATGAAAGCAAAAAAGATAATGACATAAAATTGCAAAGTATACTAAAGTTAGTCAAATTTCACATATCCCCCCCCAAAAAGTACTGGGAAGGAACCATTGCTCAGTCAAGATACTCCCTTTTCCTCAACACCACTTATTTTAATTCAGAAGGGGATATTGTCTATATTTAGATCAGTAATAATAAAGAAAAACATGTACCTTTCTGTTGGGATAACCACTTTGACTATGGCTTGCGACAGAGTCTGTATATGAAGTCACATCAGATAATAAACATAGAATATGTGAGTATTGTTAACAAGTAACAAGCAAAAATATACATATGCATTGAAAATACTACACATCTAATCACAAGTTTTGCAGACAATCACTGCATTTGAAGTAATTATACACTAAGCAATTACATAAATGCAAATGGATGTGTTCAGTGAACAAATGTTCACCAAATGCAAAGAATCAGAACATTCCTGCCAGAATGCACATCAATGCACTGAAATAGGTACTACACTGAGAATTATCAGATAAAGATTTTAATTTGTGAAATAATTAACTGTTTGCCTCTCACCATACAGTTCACTACTTTGTTCCCAAGCCTTTAAAACCAGCCCTGTCATTTTAAGTGTAATTAACAGAACCAACAAATTCTTATAACTTGAAATTAAGTTGGTTTTTATGTTTAATAAAAAGAAAATACTCACCCTTTGCTTTTACTAGAGTAGTTAACTAATTTTTTTTTTTTTTTTTTTTTTAAAAACCACATTTGTTCTGAAATATTCTAATACCTCAGATCTTGAAAACTTAAGTTAGCTAGTTGCCATCCAAACAGTTTAACTATTTAGGAAGTTTTCCTAATTGAGAAGTCACTTAACCAAACAGAAATTATCTTTTTTCAGAACAAAGTACATTTAGATACTGCACTAATAAGCAAACCTGGATGAAACAGTGGACAAAGAAAAAACCAAAATCAAAACCAAAAAACTTAACAAGTGGTCAAAAGAGGAATGGTAGCCACAAATAAGAATATGACCTAGTATCTCAACATAGGGATTCCATGGGCTAAGGCAGGGAACACATCTACTTATTTCTTTAAGTTGCCAAACAGAATTACACACATATTTTCTATAAAACTGTTGAAAAGAAATACTACCACAGATTTAGTATTTACAAATTAGATGTGGTCCTATGTACATTTATTTAATTACCTTCTCAAAATCCTCCTTGTTTTTAGGTGGTGGTAACATGGGAGCATTGGGATTCTTTAACCGCTCTCTAGGCTGCGCATTAAAAGGCAGTCCTGATGGTGGTGGGGGGAGCGTATGTTCCATCAAAGAAGGAGGAATGTATATTGGATGTGGAGGAATAGGTACAGCTTTACCCCAACCTAATTTCATTTCAAAAGACATAATCATCTTTCCTGTAAGACACAAATGTCATTTTGATTACATTCAAAAGAAAATAGAAAATTTTCACTGAATTAATTCTCACTCAATCTTCCCAATTTTGATCTATCCTCACCCCTAGTATTTTTATAAACTTTTCAGACCCCAAAAAGTCTGAATTGCACACATAAATGGTAAAAAGTTTCTTACCATTTAAATTTTTTAAAGCTCTTTCAGCATCTCTTCTATTCATAAAAGCCACAAAGCCACAATTTCTCTCTCTAGCTCTTTCTTCATCAGTTCTAGGCCACATAATTTTGACACTGGCTAGTGGTCCAAATCTTCCAAATTCTTGGCAGAGCATTTCTTCATTCATCTGTAAGAAGGTGCAAGAGTTTTTGGTATGCAAACAGAGAAATAAATTGGGAAAAAATAAAACACCGCCCAGAGCAAAGAAGCTTATACAAAATGAAAAGAAACAAATTAATGCCACAATTTTATAAGTACTAAGAACTTTACACAGGGCAAAATTTTAAAAATTATAAATTCTGATCTCATTACCAGAAACATTGTTTTAATTTAAGTGGCCTGAAAGGAGGCCTATCTGCTGGAGAAATCAAAACTATACCTTCATCTATCCTTTTTGCTTTTAAGATTCTGGATTTTATAAAGCACCCAACTCCCAATGTAATCCAAAGCAGAGAAAACAAAAATAACAAATATGTACTAAGATCCACAAAGTTTTTGGAAAAATTCCATTATATTTTAGCTCCATTTTTCCACAAACTCTTGAAGGCCTGTCATCTATGATTTTTAATAAAAGCTTAACATATATAACAAACACTGTATCTTCCTAACACAATTAGCAGCAACACTACAGTGGAAAAATAATTAAAATATGAACAACAAAAGCACAACTACTACTCTGTTACTACAAAAACAAAGAAGAAAAATTCCATAAGGAAGCAAGCTGTGATCAAAGAAGGACAGCCTCAAATGAATTATCTCTCAGCACGGCACATAACCTGATTTGATAGATAAAATTTTAACAAAGTCATCATTTAGTTGTTGTTGTTGTGAAGTGCTGTCGAGTTGGTTCCGACCCATAACAACCTTTGTATAGGGTTTTCAAGGAGCAGCTGGTAAGCTTGAACTGGCAACCTTGCAGTTCAAACGGCTTTGCAGTCTGGAGCATTAACCCACAGTGCCACACCAGGACTCATTTAGTTAAGCAATGCAAATTAAAAATATACCAAAGAAAAAACAAGCCTTTAAAGAAATTGTAGCAAGGTAATTAGGTTCATACCAGTTAATGAGATCATTTTAGACGCAATCTAATTCTATTAATTCAAATTATTTTTTCTTTAACTGATGGGAAAAGCAGCTTTCTTCCAAAAGTAAAATGAGCTGAATTTCATATTAGGTTTCTAACATTACCTGTGGATTAATGTTTCCCAGGTATAAATTAGTAGTACTTGGATCTCCTACATCATGTGAGCCAGGTGCATAATCATCAAGAACTAAAGAAAAGAGAGGGGGAAAAACATTATAACCTTCAAAATACAAAGTTTGGATAAATTTTGTTAACTAAAAAAGCAAAAAACTGTATTACCACCAGATGATCTATTTCTTCTTGAAGGCGCATCCACTGTATAAAGTAAGAACAAGAAACCGAATCTTAGTTTTAAAAATAATTAATCACAAACATAAACATCAAAATAAATGCCACTTACTAGAACGGCGCTGACCATCAGAATCTGACTGAGGTGGCTCAAATCGACTTAATCTGCCTTTTGTTTTATGTCTCTCATCACGCTCTTCTTGAATTCTGTTAAAAACATTTAAAATCAGTAATAATGGGCCCAATTTACTGTTTCACATGTAATAGAAATAGAGCTGATCCAGATACCACCTTCAAATAACTTGAAACGTGTGTGAGTAATCAAATGCCAGTACTGATAACATTCTACATTAGAGTCCTCAGACTTGTAAAAGCTAAGAGCAAATTTGTCTTACATCATATTAAAGTGGAATGTCAAGCTCACGTTTAAAGTGAGAAGGAAATTCATCATTAAAACAACAGAATTAGTATTTCTTGACTAAGATTGACCCTTCCCCCACCCACATTCCAACCCCACATAAATGAAAACATTCTTTCCACTGCAGACAGTACTCTGGGCATTAATCAACTAAATTAAATTCATATAATGCAAGCAACCTAGGTGTTAGATTAAATTCATATTTAAAACATACCCTACAAAGTATCACTATACTATGGAAAATAATCTCAGGGCAAGCTGATCTACCTAACGGCTGCACTATATTCTACATGCCTGCATCTGCAAGTATCAACTCATATCTATGGTAGTTACTCCCCACACTATGAAACTTACTGTTTTAATTCTTCTTTGAAGAGTTCCAAATTGCTTTTTTTCTTTTCTTTCTCCCCTTTCTTCAGTGGCTATAAGACATGACAAATTATACTTTAAACCAAACTAATGGTTCAACAATTGAATTATTTAAGAATCAGTTTTATTTCAGTGCCATTTTCATGGTTAATTATTTTAAACAAAGAGAAAGAATGCTTCCTATGACAAGTAAGCTTCCCTTCCTGCTTCTCCAAAGTAACTGATATATCTTTAAAATGACAACCAGTAATCTTAAAGCGGAGTCATTAAAACTTTATCCCTCAAGTCACAATACTTAGGTATGAGTAGTAGAGGAAGGCAGGATGTGGAAATATAAAATTAATAACCAAAAAGTAAAGTAACAATTACCAAAAATATATACTCTTTAAAGCAATCAGCTTAAGAGAGCATGAATTACTAAAACAAGCTATAACATCTTTAGAACCCCTCTTTTAACACTTCTTTCAGAGTTCCAAGACAATTCCATGGGAAAACAGTCTTTTCAAAAAATACCAAAACCCAAACCCATTGCCATAGTTGATTCTAATCCATAGTGACCTTCCTTACAGGATACCACTGCTCCATAGGGTTTCCTAAACTGTAATCTGGAGGAGAATACTGAAAGTGCCATAGACTGCCAAAAGAACCAATAGATCTGTTCTGGAAGAAGTGCAGCCAGAGTGCTCCTTGGAGGCCAGGATGGCTAAGTTTCGTCTCTCATACTTTGGACATATTGTCCGGAGGAAATAGTCACTGGAGGATGTCATGCTGGGTAAGGTGGAGGGTCAGAGAAAAAGAGGAAGACCCCTAATGAGATGGATTGGCCAGGTGGCATCATTGATGGCGTCAAGTGTGGCAGCGGTAGTGAGGTTGGCCCAGGATCGGACATTGGTTCGTTCTGCTGTGCATGGGGTCGCTATGAGTCGGTTCCAACTCGATGGCACCTAACAACAACAAATCTTTACAGGAGTAGACTGCCACTTCTTTCTCTCTTGGAGCAGCTGGTGGTCCTGAACCATCAACCTTTCATGAAGTTAGCAATCTAGGGCTTAACCACTGTACCACAAGGGATCATTTTGAACAGTGCTAAAAATAAGACGAATGAATTGAATATCCACAAGCAAAACAAAGTTTGATCTCTACTTCATACCATACACAAAATAGCTCAAAATGAAAATATAGACCTAAATGTAAAACCTAAAACAAAAAGTTTTAAAGGAAAACACAGGAGTGAATCTTTCTGACACTGGATCAGGAAAAAGTTCGTGGATACAACACCAAAAGCATGAGACAAAAGAAAAAAAAAACATTAATTTTATGCACCAAAGGATACCATCAAGAAAATGAAGACAACCCAGAGAGAAAAATTTGCAAATCATAGTTGATTCAGGACGTAAATGAATATAAAAACCTCTTACAACCAATAAAAGGACAAATATTTCAATAGACATTCTCCAAAGAAATGTAAATGAATACATGAGAAGATGCTCATAATCATTAGACATTAAGAAAATGCAAATCAAAATCACAATAAGACACAACCTCACACTTACTAAATTGTAAATTTAAAAAAAAGGCAAAAATCAGAGTTGGCAAAAATGTAAAGAAATTATATTGCTTATGCATTCATAACTTGTGAGACGATATATTGGTACGGTCATTTTACAAAAGTTTGGCAGAACACAAGGTTAAACATAGTAACATTGCTACCATAAACCAAAATAAAAAATTAAAAACTCAAACTTACTGTCATTTATGAAAAATTAAAAACCCAAACTTACTGCCAATGAGTCCATTACGACTCATGACAACCTCTTGTGTTACACCAAGTAGAACTAATATTCATTGAATTTTTTTCATTATATTTGCAGAAAATTGCCAGGTTTTTCGTCTGTGGCACTACTGGGTGGGTTTGAACTGCCAATCTTCTAGTTAGTTGTAGAGCCCAAACACTTTACAACACCACCCAGAGAGCTAGAGATACCATAAAACCAAAATCAAACCCAGTGCCTTAAAGTTGATTTGATTCTGACTCATAACAACTCCAGAGGGCTTAGTACAACTGCTCTGAGACTGTAAATCCCTGTTGCTGTTAAGTGCCCTTGAGTTGGTTCTGACTCATAGCAACCCAGTTACAGGGTTTCCGAGGCTGTAAATCTTTTGCGGGAACAGAAAGCTTCATTTTTGCTTCCAAGGGGCAGCTGGTGGGCTCAAACCGCCAACCTTGTGGTTCAAAGTCCAATGCTTGTCCTATGGAGACAGTCTTCTAAAGGAATTCACACTATAGATGTTAACTGCTGTCAAGTCGGTTCCGACTCATAGCAACAACCCTTTATAGAGTTTTTGAGGAGCCATGGGTGAGTTTGAACTGCTGACCTCGCGATCCAGTGCTTATCATATAGCACCACACCAGAACTAATATATACACCTCAGTTGAGAATTAGTCAAAAAAAAACCACAAATCTCCACATTTCACATTTTTATCAAGAATTTATAGCAAAGTTCTACTTATATTAATTGAAATCCCTATGAAATGAGAATGATTTTCATAATTAATATATATAGATATACAAACTCAGCTTATAGAAACATGCTATATAAAAGCATAGCAGCAGTAAAGCAAGATGAGTACAGTAAAAACAAATGTTCAGTGCTTAAAGAACATAGAAAGAATATTAACTATTTGTCTTATTCTAATTTTATCATCACCTCAGTAGGTCACTTGATTAGAAAGCATTCAAACTCAATCTCTACCTCCAAAACAATTAAAACAAAAAGTTTAAGTCCTGCTTACAGGGAAAATACTTTAAGTATCACTGGTAGAATCTCTGGATACAAATGTAAATTCTTTAAGTATAACTTACAGGTTTTTTGGTTTCTATCACTAGAAGTGATGGTGGTCTTTCATTTGATGACTGGCTTGGAGGATTTTTTTGGTCTGCAAATCTTGAAGATGGCTTATATATTTTACCTCTTTTTTCATCTGTTTCATGTTCCTCTGAAATTTAAAGTATTAAGTTTCAAAACTAATTTCACATCATTTGGATTTTTGCTTCTTCTGAAACTTATAGTGAATTGAGTGAAGATTTATAGAGCAAATCATCAGTTTTACATTCAACGAAGCATAACCTCTGTTTCATCTCAAAGACCGGAATTCCCTCCATGTAACAAGTTATCCCAATAGTTTAATCCACACTTTGTTGTTTGTTGTTAAGTGCCGTTGACTTGATTCTAACCCACAGCGACCCTGTACAGGGTTTTCAAGAAGCAGATGGTGAGCTTGAACCACCAACCTTGCAGTTCTGATGCATTAGCACACAATGCCTTTGCCAGTTAATATCACCACTAGAGGGTGCCATTGTTGTTAAGTGCTGTAGAGTCGTCCTGACTCACAGTGACACTGCTCTGTATAGGGTTTCTAAGGAGGGGCCAGAGGGTTTGAACTGCTGACTCACAGTTCAGTGTTTATCCTACAGCACCAGGAAAACCCAAAACAATGAAATATCTTTCATAAGTATCTATCAGCAGTCACTCAAGCACTGGGGTTTGCTCAAGAACACTTACCTTTAGCTGCATTAACAACACCTCCTCGCACAAAGGTTTTCACTTTATTACCATCACTTCCTTCAAAAGCAGCAAGAAATTCCTCATAGATCTCAGCAGCTGCCTTTTCATCTTCCTAAAAGTACATTAAAATATTAAACTGCTTATCAATTATAAAAAAATATTTTTGAATATAGGATTAAATTTATCAAGGAAAAATGCAGACCAAGTCTCTTTTCATTGGGGAAAGAAGTAATAATAAGTAGTAATAGTAATATCTAATCCTTAGTGGATATTGTTAAGTGCCATCAAGTCCGTTCCAACTCACAGCGATCCTATATAGGGTTCCCAAAAGCGGCTGATGAGTTTGAACCACTGACTTTGTAATTCAAACCAACCTTTAGGTCCAGTGCTTATCCTAAAGCACCATACCATATTGTTGTTGTTGTTAGGTACCATCGAGTCAGTACCAACTCATAGAGATCCTATGCACAGCAGAATGAAACACTGCCCGATCCTGGGCCAACTTCACTACTGTTGCCACGCTTGAGTCCATCGATGCTTCCACTTGGCCAGTCCATCTCATTGGGGTCTTCCTCTTTTTCTCTGACCCTCCACCCTACCAAACATGATATCCTTCTCCAGCGACTGCTCCCTCCCAATAATATGTCCGAAGAAGAGACGAAGTTTGGCCATCCTAGCCTCCAAGGAGCACTCTGGCTACACTTCTTCCAACACAGATTTGTTGGTTCTTTTGGTAGCCCATGGTACTTTCAATATTCTCCTCCAACACCATAACTCAAAAGCATCAATTCTTCTATAGCCTTCCTTGTTCACTGTACAGCTTTCTCATGCAAATGAGATTATTGAAAATATCATGGTTTGGGTCAGGCATAACTTAGTCTTCAAGCTGACATCTTTGCTCTTCAACATTTTAAAAAAGTCTTTATGCAGCAGACTTGCTGATTTCTTGACTGCTGCTTCCATGAGTGTTGACAGTTGATCCAAGAACAAAGTCCTTGACAACTTCAATCTCTTCTCCATTGATAAGAATGTTGTTTATTGGTCCAGTGGTGAGGAATTCTGTTTTCTTTACAATGAGATGTAATCCATACCAAAGGCTGTGCTCTCTGATCTTCATCAGTAAATGTTTTAAGTCCTCTTCATTTTCATCAAGCAAGGTTGTATCATCTGCATATCGCAGATTGTTAATGAGTCTTCCTCCAACCCTGATGCCACATTTTTCTTCATAGAACCCACCTTCTCGGATTATTTGCTCAGCATACAGGTTGAATAAGTAAGGTGAAAGAATACAACTCTGTTGTACACCTTTCTTAATTTTAAACAGTGTTCCCATGTTCTGTTCAAACAACTGCCACTTGGTCCATGTACAGATTCCTCTCAAAAGCACTATTAAGTGTTCCAGATACCATACTGTTGTTGTTGTTGTTAAGAGCCATCGAATGAGTTCCGACCCATAGCAACTCTGTGTAGGGTTTTCGAGGAGCAGCTGGTGAGCTTGAACCACTGACCTTGCAGTTCAAATGGCTTTGCAATCTGGCAAACCACAGCGCCTCACCAGGACTCCGGATACCATATTAGATATTAATAAATATGAAACTAAAAGAAATTTTACTCTTTTATTGGCAATTTGTGTAACAGAAAAGTAGCCACTAAATTGACATGTAATTTTTTTTAGAATTCAAATGCTAAACTATCTGACCACTGACTACATTATGATATAGTATTCTACTAAAGTTTATGATTTAATCCAGTAAACAGAAAAGTTCCTTTTTTCAAACCATCCAAGACAAGAGTGTAAGATTTTGCTACTTCAATACTGAAATGTCTATTAGATGGCATTAAAGAAAAAGCTTGAACCTTCTCATTTTCCATAAATATTCTAAATATCACCCAAACATGTATAAATAGAAAGGCCAGCAGAACAAAACAGATACTCCACAAATAAACACGATGGTTGGTGTTTGTGTCATCAAGTCAATTTTAAGTCAAGGTGACAAAGTACAACTGCTCTGTAAGGTTTTCTCACGTGTTATCTTTATGGGAGCAGACCATCAGACCTTTCTTCCACAGAGCTGCTAGCTGTTAGCAGCTGAGTACGTTGTAACCATTGTGCCACCAGAGCTCCTTAATAAACACAAGAATGTACAGAAATGTAGTATTAAATGAAAGGGAGTAAACACATTTTTTTAAAATGTTAGGGTAAAAGGAAAAAAATGCACCACTTCATTCATCATACCATATATTGCCAATTTTGAAAAATGAAACCATACGAGTACTAGTATACGGCATGAGGAAAATTACTTTATAACCTGAGAGTAGGAAAAAACTTGATTGGAAAACCAGAAACCAAATGAAAAGACTGATATATTTTATTACAAAAAAATAGTCCTCATGGAAAAAAACACCAGAAGCAAAATAAAAACATAACTGGCAAACTGGGAAAAAATACTGTACTTTGTATCATAGACAAAGTGTTAAAATATCTAATATGTACTCTAAAAATAGAGATGGTCTACTAGCTTACAGGGGAAAAAAGCGGACAGTTAACAGAAACAAACAGAAAAAGTTGCTGAACTTTTACTCATAGGGAAAAATACAAATTAAAAAGTACACAAAGAACCATTTTTCACCTAGCAAATTGTCAAAATTTCTTCTCTAACATCTACTGTTGGCCTGCTTGTAAGAAAACAATCACACATACACTGCTAGTAGCATTCTGCACTCAAGAAGGGCAGCTTGACAATGTCTAGCAAAACCATGTATCTTAATTTACCAGTCAATTCAATAATGTCACAGAAATATTTTCCAAAGGCCACAGTAGCAAAAGTATAAAGAAAAAAAACAAAACTGTTTGCTTAACACTCTTCTTAACAGCACTATTTATAATGGCAAGAGACCAGACACAAATGCTTCAAAGTTATTTCAGGTGAAAAGGTATTATACATCTAGTTATTAAGAGTTAAAAAAAAAGAAAAGAAAATTTCTATATACTGATATAAAATAAACTGAAATATAACTTTAGGTAAAAAAAAAAAAAATGGCAAGGCCAAGAAAAGTATACTGTAAACAGCACACTCTTGTTTACCTACATTAGGGGAGTGAAATATTACGTTTGTGCACATTTGCTTATATAAAAAAATAGATGGGGGGGGAAATTTACTATGCAAAAAGGAAGTGAAGGGGTGAAGGGGTCAAGAACAGAAGATCGATCCTGTGTTACAGATCTGACTTTAAGAGTGTGAGATAAGGATACCCTGGAAGGTCAAGAATTTGCGGGGAAACATTCATCTATTTTCTACACATTGATTATCTCCTTGGACACATTCATCCCAAGGGTAATTCAAAATATATTTTAAACATTACCTTTTTCTTTAATTCTTCTTGCTCCTTCTTACTTAGCGTTCGCTTAGCTGTACTCATTTTTCCAATACTGAATGCTTTTAGTTTGTTTTCTAAAAGAGGCTATAAAAATAACATATCTTTACATACATATTCATAATGCAATCTAAAACGTTAATACACCTCAAATGATTAACAAATTTTCACAATAGGTGGCTTGTTTTAATTTTTTTTTTCCACTATGAGGAAAAAAGTTGAAGCTGTACTAAGTATCGGAGCTTGAGTTTGATGAAAATATTCATTAAAGAATGCCTCAAACTCAAGGTCAGCATGCAAAAATCATTAAACAAAAAAGGTAAAAAACACAAAGACAGATACCAAGTCTTAGAACTCATGTAACCTATTTGTTGACTATTAAGAATAAAAGCACTTGAGGAGGGAAGTACGATAATTCAGAGTAAAAGAAATAGTGCTAGAAAACAAATAAATAGAAGGAGGTATACAGTTCCATGGTCCAGTAGCAAGAATCTAAATACTATCTATAACACCCCCACTTTACCAAACACTATTCTTAACAGCACTATTTATAATGGCAAGAAAAAAACCAGCATCACTTCCTTTTATAATTCAGCAAACTACCTCATTCTTCATCGTTAATATCAATGTTTATAACAACTTCATTTTCTGTATTGGGAATGTATCACATACAATACTTTAAGTTTCAGTCCTAGTAGATCTAAATTGATTAATATGAATATAAGAAAATAGTACTTCAATGAAGTCTTACTTAGAAGTAATTTCTCTCTAAATTATGTTGTTATTAAGTGCCATCGAGTTAGTTCTAATCCATAGCAACCCTGTATAAGGTTTCCAAGGAGTGGTTGTTGAACCACAACTGACCTTGTGGTTCAACCCAACCTTGCATAAGTAAATTGTCTGTAGATCATTAGTTCTTCAGTTATTCACCTGAATGTTAGGATTTTGATACATACATTTCTAAGAGAAATGTTGATTAAATCCAACCTAAAATACTCATCTGTAAATGCAATCTCCAGTTTCTCTCTCCCCTCTACTAAAACAGATTACCCAACTACAAAATTGTTGTTGTTAAATGTTGTCTAGTCAAGTGACACAGTATAGGGCTTCCAAGGAGTGGTTGCTGAGTTTGAACCGCTAACCTTGAGGTTCAAATGACCTTGCGGTCCAGTGTTTTATCCTACAGCTCCACACCAGCACTCCACCAATTATAAAATTAGACTTTGTCAATCTCCTTGTAAGTAAATGGCCTTGTCCTTGTTTTTGTTGTTAAGTGCCACCAAGTCCTTGGAGGATGCTAAATGGAAGACCAATATTGCTACAAACCATTTCTAAAGTTATAGTAAAATATCACTGTGAAAAAAAATACAGCAGATAATGACCAAAATGTCAATTCTGGGTTTCAAGGCAGATTCAAAGTAAATTTTTCCCATAACGGTATCCAGCATCTTTGGTTTCAACTTCAAAAATTTAAGAAAATTGTAAAATTACATATAAATTCAATAAAGAAGGTAATTTTACAAACAGAATTTCCACTCTCAAACTTTACTTACCATCCTAAGAGCTAAATTTAGATATCCAAGAGAGAAATAACTAAGGAAATCATGGAATGTCCACTCAAAGGAATGCAATCATCCATTAAAAATATGTTTACTAAAATGAAAATAATTAGAACTGGAAACAGGATATTTAAAACTATCTTTCTGTAAAATGGAACTGAGAAAACAAAAATAATAGTGTTTGTGGTATTATTTTAGCTACTATTCTTTGTGATTAGATTTTCCAAATCTAATCACAAGGAAAAGCATTTTTAAATAGAAATAAGACACAAGATCATGCTGCAAACCCATGAATTTAAGGAAGCCCTTCTTTTAAGTTCCCACAATGCCAGTAAGAACAGAACCTAATTGAGTCTGCTTCTTAAGTCTACACTATAAGCTCTCTGGGACCAATAACTATGTTTTAATCTGTGTTATTTCCAGTGACTCATTATTGACACCTGGTCCTGATAAAAGAGAGGAAAGACAACCTGATCATTAATCATCGTACATCCCAAATCCTCCATTTTTAAAATTAAAACCTTTTAATGAAATATATTTCACAAATAAGCTAACCCATTTCTTTACATGAATTTTTACCATTAATACTTTCTAAAACAAGACAAGAAAGAATGCTTTAATTAGGATATTTTCAAGTAGTACAAGATGAAACATACATAACACATAATTGAAACAAACATCAACGACTACAATCAAGGGCATACTAAAATAATTAACTGGCTTTTTAAATTTTATCTATACTCACTCTTGAGATATTCTGATGGGGAGAATCACAAAGGTTTTCACGGGTACTTTCATTCCTATAATTATGCTTTCTTGGGCTCTTAGGTCGTGTCCGACTTGGCACATCACTATCTGAGGGTCCAGATGAATCCATCTTCAGGAATAAAAAAAGTTTTTAAGTACTGAAATATATAAATAACCCAATTTCCCAAATTCTTACAAATTTCACTATACACTATCAAAAAATCACAGCCCTTAATATCACCATTGATCTCAACAGGAAAATCTGTAAGTACAGAGGAAGTTTCAAACAGTTAAATTTGTTTGAAAAGCACAAAATTTAGTATTAGCAACAGTTTTCCTTGAAGTATGCTGTTGTTAAGAGCCACTGAGTCAACCTTACAGTTCAAACCCCTGCGTTCCCTGTGAAGTCCTCTGCCAGGCATAGAAAAGGCTCTTGGGGACCATGGAGTGACTGAGGTGGCATGTCCCACCCTGGCTGCAAACTTTCTGCTTTGAGAATTGGGCTGTGTTGTCAATCTTTAAAAACAGCGTCAAGCAATCAGCGGAAGTCCCCTTGTGATCCAGTGCTTATACTATGCTAGTATTCTTCCTTGAAGTACTATTGTTGTTAAGTGCTGTGTTCATTTTCTTCATTTCCAAGAAAAACATTTGCCAAATAATCAATTCTGATCAACCAGTTTGCCAGTCATTCCTTCAATTAAAAACATTTTTCCATGAAGAAAATCAGCTAGTTCATTTCTCAAGTCAAACAATCACCCAAGTAATTTGTCCCTAAATATAAGCATCACAACTTGGTAAACAGATTATTTTCTATTTATCTCATTCCATCAAATAAAATATTTTTTTTAAATCCATACATAAGATTAAAATGGAATACTGTATTAATAATTTATATTGCTTTATCAAAAATATTTTTAAGCAAAGCGAGTGCATTTTTATTATACATAGTGGAAAAGAATGCAATAACTACTAGTACATGCTGGTGCTACTTCCCTGATTTGATAATCACCCACCAATTGTTTTTGCACCATCAATGCAAATGGCAACACAATGAAAAAGATAAACGTAATGTCTTAGTACCAAAGCAAAATAGTTTTAAACTCATAGGCCTCCTGAAAGATTCTCAAAAAACATCAAGTGCCACACTATGAGCACTTCAAAGTGACCCAGTATAGTTGGTTGGGTATGAAATGCCATCTTTGAGGTTAGCAGCAGCCCAGTGATTATCTTACAGCAAGCGCTAAAGTAATGTTTAGTGAATTATTATTCAAAATGTTAAAAGAGCTTAAAATAAAAAGTACATACCATGTCACTTTGGCAGTATATATACAAAAAAAAAAAAAAACGGAACAATATAGAGATTAACATGGCCTTGTTGTTTGTTGTTGTTAAGGACCATCGAGTCAACACTGACTCATAGCGACCCTGTATAGGTTCCCAAGGAGCAGCTAATGGGCTTGAACTGCTGACCTATGGTTTGCAGTCTAGTGCTGCTCCTACAGCGCCACAACGTGGCCCTTATGCAAAGATAATATGCACATTTGTGTAAAAAAGACATATGTTCATCAAGAGAAATAACTGAATAATTGTACCTTCCCACAACAGAGCTTGAGGGTGCTATCAAAAAGATATAATAAAGCTATGCAAGTTGACTTGTCAGAGATTTCCAATAGGAATGCTGTGTAGTAAGAAAGAAATAATGCATATAATGCAATTCTACAGTACACCTACTCTTCACTTATTATCTCCATTGTCTGACATTTTGTATTCATGATTAATAGTTAAAAAAAAAAAAAACCAACTCGTTCACTATTTTGCATATTAATGATGCAAATCTGGCAATACAAAATGCAGAGGTCCCTGATGGGGTCCTTGGCCAGCAGACTCTAAAATTCATATTGCAAAGTATTTTAATATCCAGGAGGGAGACTGATCATGATCTCTCCAAGCTGCAAGGGTACGGGGCTGAGTGGAGCCAGTGATACTGCCCTTCAAGTCCTGAGTGCCCATAGGGACTAAGGCCAGGGCAACAGCAGCCAGTACCTTGAAAGTGGGCCTCCCTCCGGGCCAGAGAGGGAAGTGGGACCCAGAATCTGGCCCCAAGGAGTGGCAGAACAGGCCAGGCCATGGTCAGAATGAGCCGAGATGGTACACTTGGAGGGCCAGGGTATACCACACGTCCCACAGGGGCCCTGTGCAACCCCTTATACTTCCTCAATGTCGCATGCTCGGCAAGTACAAGTAAAGGCAGGGCAGGCTACCTGGGCAGGGGTAGAATCAGTAGGTGAGTGGCTAGCAGCAGCTGCAAGTTAAGATTAAGGACAGAGGCCTAATCTTGGCCATCACTATCTCAGAGAAAGCTCTAGACTGTAGACTCTCCTGGAGATATAGGGAGGGAGAAGGGCAGGGCTGCCAGCAAGAGCCAGGGGATGTTAAAGCAAAGGGGGCCAATGGGGGTACCTAGTAGGTAGTGTGCACACCACCTACAGTACCTAGACCCTCCTGCCAACAAAGCCTCCTGCCACAACAAAGCCTCCAAAGGTATTTTGGGGTCACCAAATGGATGAGGCAGGGCCACCCATACTTATACAGAGAGGATAGGAGAGGGTAGGAAAGGGAGGGAGCCCCAGATATGGGGAGGGAGCAACACTCGGGCCACCCCAGCTCTGAAAAACTGGGCGGCCCCCCTTCCCTCTGCGGGAAGTGGAGGGAGTGGTACTCTCCTGAGGTGACCTGGGGAGGCAGTAGTGACAGGTGACCTAAGCCAGAGCCTGGCTGGACATTCATAGTACAAGTGAGGGGGTGAGGTGATGTAGTCATCCTTCTTTTCACAAATACCCATTTTCGTCTAACGATATGGTCTTTGGAAACTAACGGTAAGTGAAAATGGATTAAGTGTATTAGTACACTTGTCTTCACAAGGGAAAGTCAAAAAAGATTTGCAATAAAATAGAAACCTTTAAAAAAATATCAAAATCTGAAGCTTATTATTTCTCAACATCATCCTCCATTAAGGTTTGTACACTTTTGAAGGTGCTGTTTCTATCTCTCTAGTCCTTCCCCCAAAGTTTGAATTTATAACACATCAAAACAGCAGTTTTGGGAACCTCAGAGGACTCAAATTATGTTCCTTTTAAATACCCTGAGTTTTAGGAATACACAAAAGTCTGAATGGACAAGATCAGGGCTTTAGGATAAACAGGGTAAGGTTTCCCAAGGAAATCCTTATAGAACGAGCAGGTACATTGTTCTCATGGGAAAAAAATTCCTTAGGGCAACTTTCCTGGCATTTTTCTCACCAATGCACTTAATTTTATTATAACTTCTTCTTAATAAGTCTTTATGATAGTTTCGTGTCCTGTGAGAAATCAACTAAGATGACACTTTTGAAATCCCATAACACAATTCCCATAACCTGAGCTGACCTTTCTGACTTGTGTTTAACTGGCCCAGCAGATCCCCAGGAAGTCACGGTTTTGATTGGACCTTGTTCTCTGGGCCATATTGTTAAATATAAGGCTCAAACTGGTTACGATTTGCTCTGTACAATTGTCATCATTAGCTTCAGCCTTGCTTAAAACACTAATGGAAAGATCAGCTCTTCTAGAAAGCTGATCTTCACAAAATGCCTTAGGCACCCACTGAACTGAAAGCTTGCTTGAGGCCAAGACATTAGCTTAAAATTTTAAATGACAAACCATGTGAGAGCCCAATAATTTCAGTAGCTATACTGGCAGCGTAGTGGTTAAGAAACGGGCTGCGAACCATAAGGTCAGCAGTTCGAACTACCAGCCGCTCCGCAGGAGAAAAATGAGGCTTTCTGCAGCCTCGGAAACCCTGTACAGGGTCGCTATGGGTCGGAATCGACTCGACGGCACTTAACAACAACACTGCAGTTCTATGTATGGTCTTCTTCCACCAGTTTCTGGGCTTCAGCCAAAATTTCTTCATTCATCAAGAAGATAGTCTTCCCTTTCATGGCTCACCTTTGTGTTCTTCCCAACCTTCCTTGAAGCACATGATTCATCTAAAAACTGTTTTTATGTGGGGCAGTAGTCCCATAAACTTCCTGCAAAACTTCAATGATTTAGGAAGATGGCCCACTTGAGTTCTGTTAAAAATTTGGTAGTCCTCACCTTACAATCTTTTTTTTCCCATGGTACAAAAAGTATCCTTTATTTTGAAGGCACTCTGATGAAACTAAGTCAAATATATTTCTAAGAAAACTTGTTTGTAGCCATCCACTGATCCCAGAGACAGGTTAAAATCCTTTCTGTTTGGAGTAAGCCTCAGGCAATACTTATTGACTTACCTTCATACACTACATAACCACAATAAAAAAACGGAAACATATGTATTAGATTTTTAACATGATTAGAGCGGGCCTAAGAGACAAACATAAAAAAAGGAGTGTTCCTAGCAAAAAGGGAAAAAGGAAATGGCACATACACTATAATCACATTTATTCATCAAGCAAAATTACAGGTGTAAGGTTATGTAGAAGTTAAATTTCAAAGAAAACAAAGATTGCCTCTTCTACTTACATGTGCATCTGAAGATCCAGATGAATGAACATCTGATGATCTTGTCTGCAAGTATTAAAAATAACGTCAATACTTAAATGATCAGAAAACGTCTTATTACGCTAACAAAATAGTGTTTCTCATGTTATACAAGTTTTCCAAACTTACAGCAATTTCTTCCACCTTATAAAAATGAACAAAAGCAATCTTTACCTTATAAAAAGGTTGTAATCCAAAATAAAAATTCAAGTCAGCTCTTTAAAATACAGAGTGCATATTTTCCAAAATATAATATAAATGCTTTGTTTTTGTTAAGTGCTGTCGAGTGGGTTCTGACTACAGCAGCCCTGTATAGGGTTTCCAAGGCTATTATTCTCTGCACGTGTAGAAAGCCTCATCTTTCTCCTACAGAGGGGCTTGTGGGCTTGAACCACTAACCTTGTGGTTCCCAGTCCAGTGCTTATCCTACCGAGCCACCATGCTCCTGATACAAATGCTGTTGTTGTTAAATGCCTTTGAGTCCACACCAACTTGTAAGACCCTGTTATAGGGTTTCCAAGGAGCAGAGGTACCTTGAACCTTAACCTTCGACCTGCAGTTCAAAGAGACCTGGCAGTCCAGCACATTAACCCCAGTACTCCAATACAAATGCTAAAAGGTTATTTTAAAAAAAGGCATTTATCTCTTCAAAGTATAAACTGGTAATATAACCACTAGGTTTACAACAGAATTATTGTGCAAAATCTCTTCTCAAATCCTAACATATACAAACTTCTCATTGTTGTTGTTATGTGCAGTGGAGTTGATTCTGACTCATAGCGCCCTGTACAGGGTTTCCGAGGCTGTAAATCTTTACAGAAACAGAAAGCCTCATCTTTTTTCCGCAGAACAGCTGGCAGTTTTGAACTGCTGACCTTGTGTTTCGCAGGCCAATTCGTAACCACAATGCTACCAGAGCTCCTTAAACTTTTCATTGTTGTTTTTGTGTGCCATGGAGTCAGTTCTGATTCACAGTAACCCTATACAGGGTTTCTGAGGCTATAAATCTTTACGGGAGCAGAAAGCCTCATCTTTCTCCTGCAGAACTGCGGGTAGTTTCAAACTGCTGACCTTGCGGTTCGCAGCACAATTCGTAACCACACTAGCAGAGCTCCTTAAACTGCTCATTGTTGTTGTTGTTAAGTGCCATCGAGTCGGTTCCGACGCACAGCGACCCTGTATAGGGTTTCCAAGGAACAGCTGGTGAGCTTGAACCGCCAACCTTGCAGTTCAAACGGCTTTGCAGTCTGGCGCGTTAACCCACAGCACCACACCAGAACTCCACATCCAAAAAAAAGAAGCCTCTCCTCCGTTCCCATACCAAAGCCTCCTAAAAAGCAGCAAGAAAAGCCGCACATAAACCCTGGCTGCCTTTAGATAGAAAAAGAAAGTTTTATTATCAAATTCCCCAACAGGAAACATGCAGAACTTGTTTTTAGGGACTGCTTCTATTCCACACACTGGCTATTAATTGGTTGGATGGTTACGTACTATAGAGTTGCTTCCAACTCATAGCAAACCTGAATACGGTTTCCAAGGCTATAAATCTTTGCCGGAGCAGAAATTTCCATCTTTCTCCCATAGAGCCACTAGTGGGTTTGAACAGCAGACTTTGCAGTTAGCAATCCAGTACTTAATATTACAATTTGATCTTTTTTTTTTTTTTTTCTTAATTGAGCTGCATTTCAGATTACATACGGCACATAAAAAAAAGAGATGAAGGAGAGAGTCTTGGCTTCAACAGCAGGCAGGTTTATTGAGAGTAAACCTGGGAGGGGTACTCTTAAAAGTCACCAAAGGAGACCAAGAGCCTGTCTGTTCTCTAACAGACAGGTGTTTAAGGCGGTGTGGTCTGGATACAGTTCTGATGAGTTTACAATGGGCAAGGGTATGGAGATTTGAGAGGAGGTATTGGGGGGGGGGGGGTCTCCAGGTGTAACAAAGACCCAAGCTTTGCGGAGACCGGAAGATTCAGTGCCAACTGGTTCCGTTGATCAGGTGCAGGGTCCTTCAAGTTCGAAACTACCAGCTGTTCCGCGGGAGAAAGATGAGGTTTTCTGCTCCCGTAAAGATTTACAGCCTTGGAAACCCTGTACAGGGTCGCTATGGGTCAGAACCGACTCCACGGCACATAACAACAACAACAACAAGGCATTAAAAACGTGGTTAACAATGGAATTTTTACTTAAAAGCAATTTTAATATCTGAAGGTACTGTGTAGTGAGATTTCATGTGTTTTTATTTATATTTAAGTGCTAAAAATGCAGTAAAGAATCTTGAAAGAGCTCACCCGACCCTAGCTCCCAATTCCAAATTTTAAACAAACTGTAAATGCATAAGACATTAATTTTTAAGAGAAAGTTGAAAGTCTGGATGCTGTAGAAAATGGCAAATATAGGAAAATTCCATATATGTCTATACAATACTGCCTTATCTAAAGATAAGACTAAGAACAGCAAGTCAGACTTTCAAAACGAATCAATTTACTCCTCTGAACTCCAATGCACAGGGCAGAAGGTAAAAATCAGCCCACAGGAAAATCACGCACTGAGTTACCTCCCACCCCCATTCTTTGTGTCCATCTTGTTTCTATTCCTGTTATGGTGCACCCAACATTTGCTGTCTGCTCCCAGCTAACCTTTCTCAACAGGCAAAATGGCATACACAAGATATTCTTCACAATATTTAAACTTTAACTATAAGAAACACACTTTGAAATGCATCCATTTGCAAGTAATTTAGAACAAAGAAAATCTAAATGAATAAAGCTTAACACTTTCTTTGTACTGAGATGACTCCCAATTCCTGGTCTTCAGTCCCATTTCCATTAACAATGAGTTTCAATTCATTGTTAAACTGCCTCTGGACATCTTAGCCAAAATACCTTTCAAACTAGCTTCTCACATCTGACAGTGGCTTATAACTCTCAATCTTCAATCTACAAGTAATACAAGGTTAAAAGCAAAGATGCTGGAGCCAGACTTCGTGGGTATGAATGCTGATTTTAACATTTACTAGCTTTCTAAGCCTGATTTCTTCATCTGTAAAACTTAATAAATCCTGCCTCAGCATTACAGTTCTGAGTGTTTTTACTGTGTGTGTATTGTGAAGAGCACATAGAGTAAAAAATACTTAGAAATGTGCTTGTTATTGTTAAGTACTTTCAAGGTGGTTCCAACCCATAATGACCCTGTATAGGGTTTCCGAGGAGCAGCTGGTGAGCTTGAACCGCTCACCTTGTGGTTCAAACCAACTCTGCAGTCCAGCACACTAACCCACAGCACCACACCAGGACTCAAGTACTGTGCTCAGAACATAATAGTTGGTCGGTAAGTGTTAGCCAGCAGCAGCAAAACAAGGTCAACTTGGACTGCTTACTTATTCCTTTACTTTCATAACCAAATGGTAGTCCTGTCCCATTCATCCTATTTCTAGTATGACTTCCTTAAGGGTAATATATGCCTAAAGCTTATTCTTGGGCCTAATGTTAGCATGTAGTAGGCACAGGCTGGTGCATACACATTACAGACACTAAGTAAACATTTGTAGGAAATTGCCTAAATCGCACCTGAAATGCATCCACATCCACCTGGTTCTAGTCTAGTGCAAGATACTTAAAGTGTCATCAGACCGACAGCATCAGCATTACTTGGGTGCTTATTAGAAATCTAGAATCTCAAGACCCATCCAGACCTATGATATCAGAATCTGCATTTCCACCTAATACTTTAGGAGTCTTGGTGTGGTGCTGTAAGATAAGCACCAGACTATCAGAAGTTCAAACCCACCAGCTTCTCCTCAGATGATCACTATGAGTTGCTGTTGTAAAGACTGTTGTTGTTAAGTGCAGCTGAGTTTGTTCCGACTCATAGAGACCCTGTATAGGGTTTCCAAGGAGAGGTTACTGGGTTTGATTCATTGAACTTCTCCACTAGGATTTGGAAATCTTATGGGGCAGTTCTACTCTGTCCTACAGAGTCACTATGAGTCAGAACAGCAGCAGGTCCCCAAAAAGAATACAGCTTAGAAATAGGACTGTTCTACTCTGTTACATGGGGTCTCTTTGAGTCAAAACCAACCTGAGGGCACCTAACAACAATAATCACTATATTATTGTTGAGTTCTGGTGTTGCACTGTAGGATAAGCACTGGACTACTACTAGTTCAAACCTACCAGCTGCTCCTAAAAACCCTATAAAGCGCTGCTATGAGTCGGAACCAACTTAACGGCATTTAACAACAATAACAACAATAAAGTACGTATGGGGTCCTGGTAGGACAAGTACTGGACTGCTAACTGCAAGGTCAGTGGTTCAAACATACCAGCCGCTCCTGGGAAACCCTATACAGGGCTCAACTGTGAGTTGGAATCGACTCAACAGCACTTAACTTTAACAAGTGCCCTATGCACAGGCTAAAACAAATCATTTACAAACCCATTTCCCAGATATTTCCATTTCCTCACCTCATCCACCTCTTCTTTTAGAACCCTATCGTTTTCTCAGGGTGTGGTGCTGTAGGATCATCAAGGGACTGCAAACCATAAGGTCAGCAATTCAAATCCACCAGCTGCTCCTCAGAAACCCTAAACAGGGTCGCTATGAATCAGAACGGACTCAAATGCACTTAACAACAACCCTTCTCTTAGCAACTCAAGGGTTAAAAAGCACTAAGTTGCTAACTGAAAGGTTAGCAGTTCAAAGCCACCAGCCCTGCTCCACAGGAGAAAAGAGCTGGCATAAAGATTCCAGCCTAGGAAACCTTTGGGGCAGTTCTACTCTATCCTATAAGGCTGCTATAAGTCAGAATGGACTCAGAGGCACACACATCTACCCTTCACAACTCTGCTCACTGTTCAAAGCACCCAATCAATTAAATTCCACTATGCTCTTGAGTCCTGACGGGGGGCTATGGGCTAATGCACTAGAATTCAAAGTCAGTTTTATCTGCAAGGTCAGAGGTTCAAGCTCACCAGCCGCTCCTTGGAAACCCTATACAGGGTCACTATGGGTGGAACTGACTCAACGGCACTTAACAACAACATACTCTTGAAGCCTTTTCTCTGCTCCATTAAACCAGCCGTTAATACTTTATTTAGCTTTCTAAAGACTTTTGATTTGTTGTTGGAGTCTACCCAGGGACTCAAGAAGAAATTTCAGCTTATCTAACTTAATCTATTTTCGTAATTAAGAGATATTAAGTATTTTGCCTATTGCCACGAGCAAAAATGTTTTATATTTATTTGACGTTTGGAATGACCATCTTCTTTAACGTCTAGAAATATGTTAACATGTCAACAGGAATTTAAGCTACCAAAGAGGCAGAATGAGCATGAAACAAAAAGTTATCTGTCTATTCTATCTGTACTGTAAAATACAAACCTCTCAACATCTACTCTCCCAGATAAAGGGAAATCAAATAAGAGATCAAAACAAGAAATTCCAAATATTGACTGCAGCATTAGTCATAATGATCTTTGACTCTTTCCAATAAACTGTGGATTTATGTTCCAAATCAAAAGCAACTGTCTGGGTGTCATTATGAGAGCTGCTACTTTAAGATTATATGTCTCAGGATTAAAATGTTTACTAATTTCCTCTAAGAACTAAAAAGAGAAGAGAAAGTGGCTAAGAATTTGTATACATGTAGACATTAGCTTATTTAATCTATCAACCCTGTTTTTTAAAAAATTATTATATCCATATTATACCACATTACAAAAGAGAACAAACACTGAGGCTGAAGAGCTTAAGCAATGTGCCTTAATACTGCAAATCTACCACTAACTGCCGAGTCAGAATTTAAGTCCAAAACTCTTTTGTCCATTATCAAAATCCACAACCTTTCCGATGTATCATGCTCTACATTGATGAAGGATTCCTAGTGGCACAATGGTTAAGCACTTGGCTTGTAG